TTGGCAACTTGGTTATTTATGCCCAGTCTGTATTTGACCGAGTAATACGAGTGTTGTTATTCTGGTTTTTGCATAACCACTGTAAGTGGGCATGGTCTGTCACCAAGTTGAATTCCCTACCCATTAGGCAATACCTAAAGTATTCCACTGCCCCCTTCATTGGCAAGCATTCTCGCTCAATGGTGGTGTACATTCTTTCTCCTGAATTTAACTTTCTACTTGTGTAAGCGATGGAGCGTTCCACTCTCCCCTGTTCTTGTGTAAGTACCGTTCCCAATGCTGATTCCAATGTGTCTGTCTGTAGGGTAAAAGGTTTTGTAAAGTCAGGAGTTAATACAATCACTTCTTTACATAGTGCCTTCTTGATACTGTACGACTGTAGATACTGTAATGAGCAGCAGAGATTTAGGAACTAGGGCTGTGAGACAGCATCGCTCCACTTAGACTTACGTTCCGATGGAACAGTGTTTTGTTTCATTTCAAAAGCACTGTTCCATTTCATTTTGTTTAAACTCTTGGGCTGTTTTGATGTTTCACCCATAGCCAGCGCCAGGAAGATCGGTGTTGCCACCAGCCCCAGGCGGAAGCACAAGCCTCCTGTGATCCGGGAGGCAGATCGGGGGCTCGTGCCCCAGGAGCAGTCCAGCACAGACCCTGCAGCCCTCCCCGGGGTGCAGGCAGGCCCCCAATCTGCCTTCCAGATCACAGGAGACTGCTGCTGCCGCCTGGGGCCAGCAGCAGGTGACCCTGGGACAAATGAACTTGTGTGGGGACCTGCCCCTGCCCTGGGATTGGGGCAGGGACACTTCCCCGCATGAGATTATTTGTGCCAAGTCTGCAACCTCCTTGGACCAGCTCCGGTACAGGGCCCGGGGTATATCAGCTCGTGCAGGGACCCACCACCGCCTCAAGATCAGGTCCCCGCACAAGTCAATTTGCCCCAGGCTGTGCACTCTGTTTCAAAGCCCTTCATTTTGTTTTGTTTTCACTGTTTTGAGCTTGAAACAAGTTGAAACTAAACAGCCAGCAAAGCCTCACACAGCCCTGTTAGGAACTGCAGCAGCACTATTTCTGGCAGGCTGCAGCTGGCAAGAAACACAAGAGAAATCCAGGAGCTGCAATGGGGCCAGTGGGCCAGAACAGCAGAGCTCAAGTGGGGAGCTTGCATGCGCAACAGATCTGATCTGGCAGGTCCCAGCAGCAGCGACTTAGGCACAGAGCTGGTTGCATGGTAACTGGGTGTTCCCGGAGGTGGGAAAGGAGGGAGAAAAATCAGAGGCTGGTTTGAAAGCCCCTGGAGTTCAGGGAAAGGGCAAGTATCCCTCCATGTAAATATTGCTTGTAATTTTATCTGCTGATGATGCATTTTAGCATTGGGTGACTGTTTAATGCCTGTTATATTTGTTCTAAGTGCGTCTACCTTAATGTTCATCCACCTGTTATATTCATCTTAAGTGCATCTTAGGGGGTGCATAGAGGGTGCACATGCCCCCCGAGTGTGGCAGTGCAGCCTCTACAAAAAGGTGTCACCAACACTGTTGGCAGTGCCTGCAGGTGGTCACCACTCACTGCCCTGCCTCCAACACCACCAGCAGCATCTGTCGGTGGTCTGCGATTTCCACTGGACACCACCGCCGCTGCCAGCAGCATCTGCGGGAGCTCCTGCCTACTGCCATGCTCCCCCAGCCGCCAAGGGTACCCGTCGTTCATGTACTCATCCGTATGTTTTCAGTCTTCTAGGCCTGTTGGCCTGTGATGCTAAAACCCCCGCTACCCAACACACAAATCTTGAACATTCTTCATTGGCTTGCATGTGGTTTCTGGGGTATGCTACAGGACACAACAAATAAAAGACGATTCCATTCTTAAGGAAGAATATCAAATGCTCAAATATAGAGGCCTTAAACTGGGGCTTAAGTGAGTTTATGGGAACATTTATATTGAACAACTTTAGAAAAAAGTACTAGCATTTGACCATACACAGAAATTAGGCAAACTATGAAGACTTTTAGCTTGAATCTTTTTTAGACCTCATCAAAATATAGAATTTGTTTCATGGGAAATTGTGACATTTCAAAATTCCTTGTGTTAAGCATGGAAATGAAGGAAAAAAAAAATCTAATTTCCCTGCTAACTGAAATTTCTAAAACAATTCTCTCTCAAGCGCAAAGCTTTTCACTTAGTCTCATATTACAAAGCTTCTCATAAAATGTTTCCAAAAATCTTGACTCAAAATGAAGCACTTCGACTTGTTATAAGCATTTTGATACTTTTGACAAGAATTCCAATGAAGTCAACACATTTCTGCAAAATCCTTACAGGTCCTTGAATCTGCATTTTCTATCAAAATTATTGCAGCAGAAAATAATCAGAACTAGTACAAGTTTAGGATGATGCATTCTGTATAATGAAGCCATGTTGTTCAAACCTGCATTCTGAAGTTCAGAAAGATAAGGAACTTGCATTGCAACTCAAACATAAAGGCAATATTATTCCACCACCAGTGAATGTTGAATCAATGTCTGCAGTTGCTTATAAAAAGCTTCTAGATCAGCAAGACAATATAGCACTGGATGCAGTATAGTTTGAACGGCCACCTCTGCCAGGCTTTTTTGCATAAAAAAGTACTGATTCCAAGACTTGGGAGAGAAATTTGTGACTTTATAATGGCAACTGAATAAAATTATTATGAAGTCTTCTGTGACAAATTTTCCCCTCCAGTGTTTGCGCTTCCTGAGTTCAGGGTATTGAATGCACCAGCAGGCTTGCACTTGGCCCTTTATACTGGAAAACTGTGATCTGATTTAACCAGTAATTCCAAACCAGCAGCCGCGTTAATATGCACACTTTCTCATTATTTCCATACACTTAAGCCAGACAGAAAGTAAGAGGACTTAAGTTTGCCTGATTCAAAAGGTCAAGCTAACCTGACAATGCTCATTTTGGCAATGGCTGTTCTTATTTTAAGGGTAAAAAGAATTTCAGAAGTTTTGCATAACTGGTGAATTTTTTAGTAACTAAGTTTGCTTGTTGCTCTCCCTATGTAGAAGACAGTAGGAGAGTAAAACAATGAGAGAAAACAAGTTGACAGGAAGTTGCCATTTTCTTGTTATATGTCACAATACAATAAATTATTCTTTGCAACAACCAGTTTAAGAGCAGTAGGTCCAGAATAGTCTTTGAGGAATACAGTAGTAAAATGACTTAGAATTCTACCTTACTGTCCAAATATATGCATCTTGGGAAGAGATTTTCTAATTTGTGGAGGATAAATACATTTTTACCCAAATGCATGGAAACTTGGCTGTGGAATTCCTGTTAGTGGTAAGACTTGCTGCACATACAGATTATATGATTTCTTTTTATACTTCTGAATTTGGTACATTTTGCTTAGGAGGCATTACTACAGCAGAAATACAGGGACAGCAATAAAAGGTGCTGCTTATCAGGACCACAGTTCAAGTTTCAGTTGGCAGAACAACAGTTCTATCTGGTGAAGAGGTTGTTCCTATCTATACACCATATAGAAGTTGCCTTTAAAATCCACTTTCAGTTGTTTACTTTATCAGTTGGTCACTTTAAATAAGGCACATAACTGGTCTGCATTTCCCTTCTCAGATTTTATTCAGCTGTGATACAGACTCCTTTCAGATGGGCAAGTCTTTCACCCACTAAAGTCAATAGCAAGAATGTCACACATTTTCATTGGAACAGGACTGGATCCAGCAGGTATAACATTGGTGCGACTATCAGGCCATTTCTACCCTTTTCTGCACGTTCATATACTCCCATGTTTTGGACAAAGAAAAGAATAAATTAAAGTGTAAGGACATATTTTTTTTTTTTACTAGTCTTAAAACCAGATCTCCAAGCACAGGGACAAGGTTGATGCGTTTGGTCACTCTGAGCAGTGCTTCAATACACAAGGGGCACGTCTACCCAAGACACTTACTACACAGAAGATTAATTCTACTGTGCATTACAGCAGTGGGCAAAATCTGTGCTAATGTGCAGATTTAATCTAATGCACATTAATGTCACTAAAAAAGTGTTCATCTGTGCTAATGTGCAGTAGTGCCAAATACAGCACATTAATTTAGTACCTGTCATTACACGTACTAAACTTAATGAGCTGTAGTTATGGCACATCAGTGAATGTGTAGACACACCCAAGGTGTTACTCAAAATCTGGTTTTGATTAAAAGTCAGAATATTATCCCAAAAAAGTTTACTCAAAACGGACCACGGAATCTTTATATTGGCTTGACAGTTTTTATTCACATCTTGTGCCACATAAGTAACAGAAGCCTTTAAAGTATGATCCACACAAGTGAAAAACATGTTTTTTTTAAACTCAGAATTTTTTTAAAAATATACAGTTTTTAATTAATTTTAAAAGATATAGTTAACATAGCTCCAATTCTGAATAGCAAATTCCAAATTTTTGCATTTTCTATAAAATGTCCAATTTGTAATTTGCTATTCAGAATTTTTTTTAAGTTAATTACTGCTATATTTTTTTTATAAGCCCACATGAAGTTAGGCAATAGAGGTTACAGACTGGACAGTCAGCATAACTATTGCATTTGTTCAGCAGAATGCTCGGCTTGATTTCAGTGTAACTACAACAGCTGAACTTACTGTGCTTTACTCATCTATGTATGGGTTTATTGCAACAACTTTCAATATAGACACATTTCCTCCCTTGCCTGATGCAACCCTTAACCAACTCAAAAGTTTCCACCTGGTACTCAAATTTCAATATGATTTGTCAAGTTTGGTATATTAAATTAGATAACTGATCCCAAAAACAAAACCCTTCAATTTCTCTTTTAAAGTAAAGTAATGTGTTATATTCAGGTAACCACTCATAAAGAATTAAAAAACAAAAAACAAAAAAGGTCAACATATCAACAACATTTATGAATGGTTCATAGAGAAAACTTAAAAGAGTTTGCCATTAATCTGCAAAGATAAATCTAACATAGAATACTTGGAAGTCCGTCATCTTAAGCAGGTCTTTTATTGTAAACAGGGAATCTCAATGCATGAGACAACAAGTCAAATTAATCACTGACAAGAAAAACCAAATGCAATGAAGTTAAGAGTTCCTCCACTTACATAACAATGACTTAAGCCCCATGCATTTATAAACCTAGTTAGTGATAGACTTGTTCAAAACACTTCCTAAGATAAACAAGCTTTTAGGACTTGCTTTCTCAGTTATCAAGGCTGGTTTGTTGAACATCACAAAATATTGGCCTGCTGTTCATTTAGACAATATCCACTTCTGGCAGACTAAAACCATTTGTATACAGTAGATGTGCATAATTTAAATATAGCCATAAACAAAGGAGACTGTAACAAGGCACTGATATTAAGAGATCTACAAGGCTGCCATTGCAAGTTAGAACACATTATCAGATCATGTCTGTTGCTTTGCTCCAGTTCCAAGAATAAATAATTTATACTACATAGTATCAGGGGATGCAACTCAGTAGGTAAAGACGCATGTAATTTTTTTAAGCAAAGTAGTACAAATTATACTTTCCCATTTTGCTAGTCACACAATGGTATGTAGATTTTTGAAAAATCGAGAGGATTCTTCTTAATGCTTATGTTTTGGTTTTTGTACTCAACCTGACTTCAGGCTGAGCAATCAAGATGAATACTTTTTAATACTTGAAGTGACTTTCACTCTTGTGCAGAAGGTTAGCACAAAGCCATGGCACTTGATAAATCCTACTTAAGCCCTCCTGGAAAGCTTAAAATGAGCTGTAAGTGGAGCATAATTCTTGTGGGGCCTCTTGTACAAGAGTGAACACAGTTCTAAGGTAACACTTGGGGAAACAGTTCTGTAACTCCTAAGGAAAATGACTATTTTAGACCCACTACAGAAGAATTAAAAAGCATGAAAAGAGTCTAGGAAGAAAAAATCTCTTTAAAAATTAACAACTGCAAAAAAAAAAAATCCCAACAGGAGCATCCTCTAACAATCTCTTTCAATGATTCTATGATTTCTCAAGAAGTGTGACATGGAACCAACTTATCTTCCCATCATTTTTAAAAAGGAAAGCAATGTCTTCAGAATCTCTGCCTGTCTGTACTGTTAAGGCATTTTTGCTAAAAATAAAACTATTTAACAACCCCCACACACCCCAAATAGATATAAATATCATTTTAGCAGCTAATAGAAGAGGGATTTCTGTACTTTGAAAAAATTGTTACATGCTACAAGGAAAAATGCTCTCAAAGACTCAAGAGTCCTTTCAATTATAAACTGCTCTCCAAGGAAGTTTTAAGCTCACATGTCCACATGTAGTGGCTTTTTTCTCTCAGCAATTGCTCTTATTTTACCAAACCAAATAATTCATCCATATACTAGATCAGAAGGCAGGCAAGGGGGGTCTAAGCATATTATATATTTTGAAATCCCTAAATGGATAGGAAGCCTAGGCTAATGCCTTCCGAAGCAACTCATGCTCAACTCAACATGTTATAAGGAGCTCCAGTTTTCAGAAGCTGGGTGTCCATCACTTGCTGAAATAACAGACCATTTTAAAGCATCTCACATTGAACATCTCCCCCCAGAAATATCACTAGGCAAGTTAAAATAAATTGGCCTAAATCATTAAGCACTTTTATACAAGTGAACTTCCTATCCAACATTGAAATATTAGTTTGACTGTAAGTACATGGGAAGTATTTATCATCTTATTTATATTTGCACATAAATTTGTTTTAGCATGCCCATGTTAAATAGTAATACTATCAACAGCAGGGTACTTTTCATACCAGAGCATTCCAAATGTACTAAGATTGCACTTTGGAGAAATTTCTCGAATGAGCTTAAATCCACTTAAAGATAGCATCAGCAATACCTTCTCCTCCAAAAAGAGAGCAGACATCCCAGCAAGTAAAATAATTTTCAGTGTTACAAAAGTAGAAAGTTTTAACTATAAACATATGGACAGATTATACAGCAATAGCAAAAACATTACCCCTACTATTTCACACAAGTATGAGAAGTAAGCATGGTTAATGTAGTGTATTTAATATCCATGTTCTTTTTGAATGAAGCAGCTGTAAGAGGCTATTCTGAAAAAAAAAAAAAAAGATAAAGTCTGCAAAATATTCTGGTTGGAGGGGATGACAACATATTTCTGTTTATTTTCTGGGTTTCTTACTGCCTGTCATAACAAAATAGTGATCATCACATTTAGTCTTCAATGCAGGATCTTTAAGTATACCAGGCACCCCCTTGCTACATTTATTTGTAGTCTTTCCTTTAGAGAGGGGCTTCTTGACTGCGTCAGCCAAGGTTTTTTCACTTTTTGGGGAATTTTTAATTGAAGACTGACTTTTTGTGGAAGGCTCTGCCCTTTTTTTTGTAGTTTGTACTTTGGCTGATGTCTGAGGAAGCCTCACAACAGATAATGGAGTGCGCTCAGGATGTTTTGATAAACTGGGGCCTGTCTGAGGGTTTCTACTGACATTTTGGGCCTGTAAATGCTCTCCTGCCAGCCGTCTGTTAGCAGCTGAAGACACACTCTTGCTTGTAGGCCCCAGTGCAGGTGATGCCTTGGAGGTTTTACTAACTGCAGATGCAGAATCTGGCTGTTTTAAGATTGGAGGGGTTCTGTTATTCTTCATCAGGCCAGTCCCAGGTGGTGGCACCCTTCTGGGAGCCTGGGATTGCATTCCTGTTTGAATTGGACTTTTGAAAGTGGATTTTGCTGTTTTTTCAGATGACTGATAAGAATGTGTAAGCTTAGATACAACATGAAGATTTGCATTAGGCAGTTTGGCAGGATTTGGTGAGTATTTTGAAGCAACCAGATTAGATTTAGCTGTGGTTGATATCACTTTGCATTTAGAGGGAGCACATTTTTGTTCTGAAGGCATTGGTTCAGTTGTCCCAGAGAATTCAGACATCTCATTTGGAGAGCAAGAGGCAGCTGAAAGTAGCACTGGTGCTGGAGAATTCAGGGATGGTACGACCTTAGGAGCATCTCGGGACCAAATACGTTTACTCGGTGTCTTTGAATTGCCAGGAGCTGTTCTTAATACTGCAGGAGAAGAGCTTTTGCTTCCAGATTGTGCTTGCTTTGAAAAAGAAGTTGGAGAGTTACACAGAGGAGACTCCAATTTCTTTGAAGTGCTTGTTAAAGATTTAAAAGGTAATTGGGCAACCGATGCTGAGGAACCTTGTACCTTGGAAGATACTGACACCAGCTTGGTGGTAGAGGGCGTGTTCATTGCTCTTCTGGGGGATGCCAGGGCAGGTGTCTGTGGTCGTTTAGATAGCACTTGCTTGCTGCGGACTGCATGAGCACCTTTTGTTGCTGAACCAGGAGCTGGGGATTTTGAATTTTGTTTCTGAAACATATTAACAGCCGATATGGGATTCATTACAGGAGGCTGCAGAGGTTTAGCTGATGGATCAGAGGCGCTTTCATTAGTTCCACCTTTCTGAAAGGCCAGGATTTTTTGCTCCAGAGTTGCAAATTGCAACACACGACAAGGATCATATTTGAGTAGAAAACCCTGAAGAGTATCCCAACCTCCACCAACACGTACCATCACGTGTTTGCCATGCAGCATCTAAGAAAAGTTGGGAGGGAAGAAGGAAGAGGTTAATGAAACTGAAAACATAATTACTTTAATATGAACTATATTGCCAAAATGCATATGTAGCATTGCTTCCTATGCTACAACTTGAATTCGTTGGGATTAATTAACACATCAAACAAAACAACCCCACAATATAACTTTGATAAAGTACCATTTATATAGTGTCCTATTCTGTCCCCCATCTCTTTTTTTAAATGAATGTAAAACAAAGACGTGTTTTGGTCCTTCTTGACATTACTGGCAATATTTTCATGACAGAGATAAATATATTAGCCAATTACTTGCCTATCATTGAAGTGGCAGGGCATTAGCAGCACTCGTCTCCTCTTTTTTTTTTTTCTTCCTTACAACAACTTCTGAAGTGGCCAGGCCACACCCTAGGCAGGCTGCATGCTACAAAGGCCACAATAGTACAAGCCATGGGTGTTGTTCCCCCAACCCAGTTGCCACTTCACAATTCTCCCACACACATGCAGACAGCCCACTTTCCTGCTTTAATGCATTCCTGTCTCTGGTCCTGCCTCCACCACTCAATTATGCATATGGCTGGACCACAGGCTTCTTACTCCAGGCTCCCCAGCACTGCAGGTTGGGCTATACTACACTGCCCCTAGAGGCAGGTACAGCATTGGCAGCTGAGGGGCAGCCTAGAGACCCTCGCTTTTGCTGTAGCAGAAGCAATAGGGGGAGGGGGAGTGGCTACCAAGTGAGAGCAGACATATGGCTCTAGTTTCCTCTCTAGAGCCTTGTAGGAGAGCTTATGTCATGGTAATTTTAGGGATCACTTGGGTTAACAATTGCCTGTGAATGCAGGAGACTGAACTCAATAGCTCCTTCCAGTCTTTAGACTATGTAAACAAAACAGTGCAAGTAATGTGCCTAGAATACAAAGCAAACTGAAAATGCTAAGGCAAAAATTGTTCCTGTCAAGATTGTGTGTTACTAGACACTGTACATTATAGCAATATTTTCAGACAAGTTAGTTTCAAGTGGACAATGTCCCAGTTCCTCAGAAATTGTCTAGTCAGTATTGAAATCAACATTTATATTCTGTTGAGCTAGCTTTTTTGCAGTTCGATTTATGACTTCAAATAGTAACGTAAAGCACTAAACTTTAAATTTAGGCAATTCAGTTTAGTTGTAACTATTTATACAGCAGCAGTTTGACACAATAGAAGGTGCAGACAGAAGTGCAGCTCCCGGGTCTAACTCATGGTGCTTCAAAGAAAGCGCCATGAGTTAGACGAATCCTCCCAACCCAATGGGCGTTAGCTGTTTGGTTGGGAGGTTGAGGGATCAAGCTCCAATTTGAAGTCAATCCAGGGAGAGAGGCTGTGATTCTGCAGCCTCCTCCCCTGGCTCTACTCCCCCACCACCTTCAAACCTCCAGCATCTAGCGCAAGAAGTCCATCCCAACAACTCCTCTCATCCGCGCATCCCACGGACGCCAGGCCCCAACACTTTCAC